TGCAATAACAGCAAACATCAACAGACATGAACAGTCTACGATTCTCATGAACCAGCAAGTAAAACGCGAGGCTGCGTCCGCAAAACTACTTCGCAGTGCTGTAAAGTACATAAAAGTATATAGATCTCGTGGAGAAACCCTACATATAATAATGTATCTAGTAACTTTAAGCCAGTTCACCATCCATGCACACATTGACTGGCACAGCCTCCATGCATGACATCAGCTGCCTGGTGGCTTCTATTTAGGTCTGACATGAAGCGTGTTGACGGCTCAGGCCAGCTCCTGTGGCTAAGGGTGTGGACCCTCATGTGAGCGGTCCACAGATTTCCCTGTAAAGAAACTCTCCAGGGATGTAATCATGGTTAAGTTAGGACAGTGGCAGCAACTCAGTGAACCAGAAGAGGCTGCTTTAATCCTATGAAGTCAGAGTCACTTTTCTCCCGCTTTGGTGTTTTGTAGTGTTGCAGTTTCAGATAGAAGTCAGCAGAGGGCAACATCCTCATCATTTTGCAGTTGCTGGGGTTACTTATCTTTTATTTCTCTGTGTCATTGAATACCTCCACAGTGTTTAATGGCTGCACAGTTTCTGGCAGAACAGACTTTTAACTGCCATAATACGGTCTTGAACTACGGCCTCCAATCTTTACAACGTTCGTACACTGACATATCTCTAAGCTCCTAAGTCCTCCTTAAAGTTCCAAAGACAAATGAGGATTGGTTAAATGTTTTAGAAGTTAAAACAATGAGAAAATGCAAGTAAATACAGGGGAACCTCTGAGACAAGCCTGTCACTAAACAGGCTGATTGCAAGGGCTTAGGTTTCCTTCCAGCATTAGAGGGAGCACATATCAAGTGGTGGGTTTGGGTTTTTACAGACTTAATTTCCTGCATTATGGTAATTTATATAAAGGAAAACATAAAATTCCGGTGGCAGGTGACAATTCAAAATATAAAAAGATAATGGACAATAATGCAGTAAGGCTCTCGGGCCTTCTGTTTTTCTTTCAAGGAATTCTCCTGTACATCAACTTATGTAGCTCCTTGCTGAGTCAACACACATGCAGGCATGATTAAGTTTTTCCTCCTCCTTTGTGTCTTTTGTTTTGGGAAATGTACCTCTTTAAATGTGCATGAAATCCCTTTTAACTCAATGATAAATTCTTCATTTTGATTAATTTATAAACCCCTGGACTGCTGTGTTTCAGTTTTCTATTCATGTTCAAAACTTTCTGCACATTCAAAATCTTTCCCGCATATCCGTGTTCTCTGACAAAGAGAATAGTCGCAGTAGGCTATTACTAATAAAGTGGTAATTTAGTGAGATAATACTATACTATACTATACTATACTATAAAAAGAATCTACCTGCCCTGTAGACCTACTCTGCGCGTCATTCACCTACGTTATTGCTCTTCTGATCTGGCAGTATCCTCTTCAGAGCGTCTGTCAGACCCAGAAACACGTTTTGTACTGTAGGCTACAGGACGAAACATGTGCGCTGCTCTTCCTCGGAGTTTGAAAACTGGGAACAGTTCTGATCAGGCATGAATCTCACCACAAACCCACACAAATGTTAACATCGCCACTTCTGATAAAGTGCAGCTGACAGCTGCTTCAGCGGGAAGCATCCTTGAGCAGACACTGCCAAACATGCAAAGGTGTCTCCAAGCGAGCGGGACGCAGAGACAGCAGCGCTACAGAGCGACAGAGGAAAGACGCCACACTGCAGTCCAACATTTTTACATGTCTAAATAACTGTAGACAGCCAGGGAATCCTAAAAGATTCACATATGACAAACTTTTTTCTTATAATATAATGATTTAAGTCTCTTCTTACTAATTTGCGACTGACTGTTAACCGTTTGTGTCCCAAATACGTTGACGGAAAACAGTGCTCATCTTTACATTTGTGATAAAAATTATTTCAAGTCAGTTCAGTAATCCGGTCTCCACTATGTCCATTTTAATCTCCCTAAAGTTTGGGAACTCCTTTCTATAGGGAACAGTCTTGTCGGAGGTTACGGTCACAGGAGGATCTCCATGGCAAAAGAAAAAACAAAGCAGCCGTAGCCAGTGCACGTCTGCTCACGTCTGGGACCACCGCCTTGCTCTTGACGCATGGCTGAGTCAGCGGGAGCGCGCGTAATTGACCATTCCCAGACACGAAACGTGCTCATAAGACTCCATCCCATGTTCAACTTGGTATCCTATAAAGCCAACTAACATTGCGCCAAGTAACCAGATACAGAGAACACCGCGCGGATGTGGTGGACATTTAAAACCAGGGGAACTTGACATCAGGTTAGAAATATAACTTTCTCATGTAAGGCAAATGAATTGTTCTTTTGTAATTTATTTGTAGCTTTGGCAATATTGTGGTTTTACATTCAGGCCAAGAAAGCTTGAATTGAATTGAATTGTAAGGCATTTCATGCGTTTTTTAAAATCTTTCCTATCTTACTTGTAAACTGGAATACACTGATTTAAATTTAATTGAATAAAGATAGTTTGTAATTTAAATAAAAACAGAATAATTTCTGTAGAATCATGGTAAGTCATTGAAGAATAGGAAAACAGCCTACTTAAATAATAACAGATTTCTGCAAATGGTAAGGTATCTGATGCTTTTACTTTTGTATTATTTCCTTTAGTTATTTATTAGTTGATAGTTTTATTTAGTCAATTGATAACCACATATTTTAACGTCTTGCTTTTTACTATAGCTGTTAGCTTTTTGGTTTCAGAATAACGTGCATTTCAGTTCAATGTGCTTTATTGGCATGAATGATTAAGTTAAACAATGTTGCCAAAGCCATTAACAACAAAATCACAAAGTTTTCATTTGAATATAACATAATACGAATTAATGCAATTATGACCATTCAATTTAGCAGTTATAATTTACAAGAAATTGTGCTTGTTTCTGTGCCAGTGTGGGATGATTGAGTAACATTGTAGATTGTAGCTAATCTGCAGTAGGCTATTACTATATATTTGAAATAATGTTATACAGTATTATAAAGAAATAAATATATTCTTATAACAAATGATCCAGAACTTATTATTGTAGTATTTTCCATTGTAGCCTGTAACTTCTGTTGCATGTGTTTTTACACACAGTCGTCAATGTTGTGTCATAAAACACAGTGCTGTACAAAGAAGTGAAAGTTGTAGCCCTATTCACATTACACACACAGAACAGAACACAATACAGAAATATTTACCAATATATATATACAGTGGGTACGGAAAGTATTCAGACCCTTTAAGTTTTTCACTCTTTGTTTCATTGCAGCCATTTTCCAAAAATCAAAAAAGTTCATTTTATTTCTCAGTAATGTACACTCAGCACCCCATCTTGACAGAAAAAAACAGAAATGTAGAAATTTTTGCAAATTTATTAAAAAAGAAAAACTGAAATATCACATGGTCATAAGTATTCAGACCCTTTGCTCAGTATTTAGTAGAAGCACCCTTTTGATCTAATACAGCCATGAGTCGTTTTGGGAAAGATGCAACAAGTTTTTCACATCTGGATTTGGGTATCCTCTGCCATTCCTCCTTGCAGATCCTCTCCAGTTCTGTCAGGTTGGATGGTAAACGTTGGTGGACAGCCATTTTCAGGTCTCTCCAGAGATGCTCAATTGGGTTTAAGTCAGGGCTCTGGCTGGGCCATTCAAGAACAGCCACGGAGTTGTTGTGAAGCCACTCCTTCGTTATTTTAGCGGTGTGCTTAGGGTCATTGTCTTGTTGGAAGGTAAACCTTCAGCCCAGTCTGAGGTCCAGAGCACTCCCTGTACTTGGCCGCATTCATCTTTCCCTCGATTGCAACCAGTCGTCCTGTCCCTGCATAAAGCCCCGACTGGTGGATTGCTGCAGTGATGGTTGACTTACTACAACTTTCTCCCATCTCCCGACTGCATCTCTGGAGCTCAGCCACAGTGACCTTTGGGTTCTTCTTTACCTCTCTCACCAAGGCTCTTCTCCCCCGATAGCTCAGTTTGGCCGGACGGCCAGCTCTAGGAAGGGTTCTGGTCGTCCCAAACGTCTTCCATTTGAGGATTATGGAGGCCACTGTGCTCTTAGGAACCTTAAGTGCAGCAGAAATTTTTTTGTAACCTTGGCCAGATCTGTGCCTTGCTACAATTCTGTCTCTGTGCTCTTCAGGCAGTTCCTTTGACCTCATGATTCTCATTTGCTCTGACATGCACTGTGAGCTCTAAAGTCTTATATAGACAGGTGTGTGGCTTTCCTAATCAAGTCCAATCAGTATAATCAAACACAGCTGGACTCAAATGAAGGTGTAGAACCATCTCAAGGATGATCAGAAGAAATAGACAGCACCTGAGTTAAATATGAGTGTCACGGCAAAGGGTCTGAATACTTATGACCATGTGATATTCAGTTTTTCTTTTTAATAAATTTGCAAAAATTTCTACATTTCTGTTTTTTTCTGTCAAGATGGGGTGCTGAGTGTACATTACTGAGAAATAAAATGAACTTTTTTGATTTTTGGAAAATGGCTGCAATGAAACAAAGAGTGAAAAACTTAAAGGGGTCTGAATACTTTCCGTACCCACTGTATATATATATATATACATATTATATAGCCTACAAAGGTTAGTTGCAAGATAATGTGCAAAACCAGCATAACAGAAAGAAGTTTCATGGCAGGTCAATCTTGATAAATACTAAACTGTAGCTTGTTCCTCAAATGTAAGTCGCTTTGGATAAAAGCGTCTGCCAAATAATAAATGTAAATGTAAATCTTTTTGTATGCCTGGTAGCCGTACTATTTTCCAGCTTGTATAGCTTGTTAACATGTCTTACAACAGTCCACAAAAAAACTAATTCCATTTAATACACCCTTTTTTTTCCAAATCACAGTGCCATGATTGTCTGTGCCCATATTTAGCATGATCAGGACCAGTAGCAAATCATCCTTTATGCATGTAATAGCCAAACTAACATGTGAAGTGTTTGTGTCTCTTAGGTAAAGATATACAATGGAGCTAAAACCTTTATTGAAGAAGCTGGGCTCAATTATCCGCACCATCCTCACTTTCCTCTTTGCTCTGCTGGTCCTGGGCGTGATGGTGTGGGCCTATGTTTGTGGTTTCCAGCTGGTGACCTCCTTGTATGGACTCATCTCCTTTGGCTTTTATGGACTTCTGCTTGCACTCCACTTGCTTGTCCAGAGCTTCTTTGCCTTCATTGAGCACAGGCGAATGAAAGCTTGCACAAACCCGTGCACCTTTACCAAAACTATTGGCCTCACGATATCAGCTTACCAGGAGGACCCCGCATATCTCAGAGAGTGCCTCAGCTCTGTCAGGGCCCTCAAGTATCCCCCTGAGCTGCTGCGCATCATCATGGTGATAGACGGAAACACACCTGAGGACCAATACATGATGGACATGTTTAATGAGATATTTGCTGACCAAGACCCTGGCTGTTATGTGTGGAGGAACAACTACCACACATGGAACCCCACCCAGGCCCAGCAGGATGTAGAAATGGCTACTGTAAACGTCCCAGGAGGGGATGCTGATCATTCACCAGGAGAGGATCCACAGAGAGAAAAGAGGTAGAGCGGCTGATCCAGAGCAGGAGGTGCGTGTGCATCATGCAGAAGTGGGGCGGCAAGCGGGAGGTGATGTACACAGCGTTTAAAGCACTCGGGTCATCAGTAGACTATGTGCAGGTATGTATTTTTTTTCAGTGAAGATGATTTTATGAAAAAAAATTGCAGTGTGGCACATTTGTTTATGACATCACTCTTTCTCCTTCCTCAGGTGTGTGACTCGGACACTATGCTGGACTCCCTGGCCACCGTGGAACTATGTAAAGTGTTGGAGAGCAACCTCAATACGGTGCTGTGGGAGGGGATGTGATGATCCTCAACATGAAAGACTCTTTCATCAGCTTCATGAGCAGTCTTCGGTACTGGATGGCTTTCAACGTCGAAAGGTCTTGCCAGTCCTTCTTCAACTGTGTGTCCTGCATAAGTGGTCCTTTGGGTAAGAGAAAATTAGTTTTTCTGTCAAAGCAATGATTCTACATGTCAAGCTTGTAGTCATAGCTTTAATGCCCTGTTGTAATTCACTGTGAGTAAAATTTGTGTCTGTGGTTTCTTGAATTGCTCAATGAAGGTCTGTACAGGAATGATCTCCTCCAGCAGTTTCTGGAGTCCTGGTACAATCAGAAGTTTTTGGGAAGTCACTGCACATTTGGTGATGACAGGCATCTTACCAACCGAATGCTGAGCATGGGCTATGCCACAAAGTAAGACGCTTATCAATAATGTGCACAGATATGACACATTCATCTTGATAGTGTAATCTTAGTAAAATGAGGAAGTTTCATGGATTTTATTTTTGCCATTTCCTTTAGATACACAGCCCGCTCCAAATGCTACACAGAAACACCTGCACAGTTTCTGCGCTGGCTCAACCAGCAGACTCGCTGGACAAAATCTTACTTCCGTGAGTGGCTCTACAATGCAATGTGGTGGCACAAGCACCATCTCTGGATGACCTATGAGTCCATTGTCTCAGGTATTTTTCCCTTCTTTGTCACTGCCACCATCATCCAGCTGTTTTGGACAGGCTCAGCGTGGGATATCCTCTGGGTCCTGGTCTGCATCCAGCTGATCGCGCTGGTGAAAGCGGCTTATGCCTGTGCCTTGCGCCAAAACATGGTGATGTTGTTCATGTCTCTCTACTCGGTTCTGTACATGACCAGCCTCCTACCTGCTAAGTACTTTGCCATTCTCACCATGACCAAAAGCAGCTGGGGGACATCAGGTAGACGTAAGATTGTAGGAAACTACATGCCCCTCCTCCCACTGTCAGTGTGGACATTAATTTTATTAAGTGGGATCGGTTACAGAATCTACAAGGAGAGTCAACTGGACTGGTCATCTCCAGCCAAGAAACTGGAGACCAAGTTTCTTATCTTTGGCTGTGTGGCCTACGTGTGCTACTGGCTGCTTATGCTGATCCTCTACTGGGTGTGGTTCCGAAGGTTATGTAGAAAACGCTCCCAAAGTTACACTTTGAGTGGTGTGTAGGTCCAAAGTGTCCTGTGAAGAACTAAGAGAAGGAATATAATTTATTTAAGTTCAACCATTTACCTTATAGTTATACCTTTATTCATTTATTTATTTTGTCGCGCATTGAAGTAACTGATGGACGGAAGGATTCTTACACAACTGATTTTCTAACAAACTTTTAAAAAATGAACAATTTAACAAGTATTGGTGAAACTGATTAAATGAATACCATCCATATTACCAGACATTTTTGAATTTTTTTTACTGTTATATATGAGGACAAATGTTTGACTCATATGGAGATGTTGTTGCACATTTAAATGAAACTGTAATGAAGGCTTTCTGGCCCACACACTCAGGTTTCTCTTTGTCAGATTATGATGGCAGAGATGGCCTTCCATCAGATATTTATTCATGACATCTAAAGATTGAGAAAGTGCTATTCAAATAACATTTTGTTTTTATGGATGTGGATCTTGGGGTATGTGTATTGCTTTAGCAACACAAAGACCACCCCTTATGGATGTTTCACTTTGTTGTTGTTGTTATTGCACTGGATCCTGGTTGGCACTTTCTGCAGCATTGCAGACCTACTTGAAAATACAGAAAATGGCAGTTTGTCAGATTGACATGTAAGTTTTCTGTATATACGTTTGGTATTATTTGTTGGAAAGGCTGGATGTTGTCTGAAAATGTGAAATAAATGATGATTTATATAAATAAAAATCAAATATTTTTCTAACTTCTACAGTTCTACAGTTTGACTGAAAATCATGTTTTACAGTACAGAGAACAACAGAAAGTTTGACTGGGTAAATAAGTCAAATCACACTCAGTTACGTGATACAGTTTACAGGTGACACAATGATTGAAAGCAAAATGTAACATGACGTCAAATTAGGCTTCATGCTACACACCAGCATCTTACACTTCTTCTGTGTTAGCATTAGTGTAGTTGCTAACATTAGTGGGACACCTGACCTGTGTGGCAGTGAATGTCCATGTTGTACAGAACCACAGTCACAGTTTTGACAAGACTTCACTATACTGATAAAAAAATGTGAAAATGCCTGACAGTGGCAGTGGTTAGGCTAAGTGTCAAGGATCTCCCTGTAGTCTTCCAAGTGAGTGGTCTTTTATAATATGCCAACTAAAAGTTGCCCACAAGCATCCTCATGCCTTTCATAGCCAAATAGAAATGTATACGAAAATGTGTACTAGATAATCTGCATAGAAAAAATAAACACACTCTAATGCTGATGTAAAATGCAAATCAACAAGCAAAGAACTGAGATTCACAAAAACACAACAACTGGATTCATAAATGCCTAAAAAGTTGTAAATGTTAGGATGACATTCACAAATGCTTTAATTTCTTTATTAAGAGTATTCATTCATTTATTAATTAATATGTATTTATTAATTTAATGTATATTCACAGATGTTTTTTTATTTGTGGAATTTTTTTGTGTATGTTGCAATATGGCAAAAGATATTTGTTTAAAAAAAATTGTATTTGTGAAAAAGTGTTCTACAGATTAAATATTTACACATGGATTGTTAATTTGTTTACACAAATAATGTTGAGGTAAATGCAACAGAGAGGATCCTGACAATCTGTGGAAATAGATGTAAGTTCTCTAGGTGTAAATGGAAAATGTATTTTTCTTTTCTTCTGATTTATCAACCTGGATGTCCTTTGCACCCAAATGTATGACATTATATAATACTTCGAGATCTTTGTCATCTAGCCTGACCCCAGATTTATAGACTACACATTTACACATGGACATGATCTTTTCACACAAGTAATATTGAGACACATCTATCTGCATACTATTACTATTCTTAAGATTGATGTAAACACAACAACAGACATCTAAAATGGTTGAAGTGACATCATAAAAATGTGTGTGACTGTGGTAATAAGAGTGGAAGCAAGGTATAGGTGCACAAGGGGGTCCAAAGTTACATGAGCAATAGTCCATTTGCCCTCTTTGGCTCAGCTGCGCCTCTGGAGGAAATCATTTTGTTAAAGAAGATAAGATAAATTAAGATAAGAATTGACACAGCAGCACAGGGGTATCTAGTGCAAAGAAGAAAGAATAAAATACAATAGACAATAAAAGTAGGATCAATAATCAGAATCAAATATGTAAAATGTACACCCCATATTCAAACAATATAATATATGGTGTCCTTGTGCATATCTGTACATGTGCAAAGTTCCAGAGGTATTGTACGTGTGCTCAGTGGGATAGAGAGAGAGTTGTGCTTGTCAGTTGAGAGTCTCTGTCAGCGGAGATGGGAGATGCTAGGTGCTGTGGCGATGTGGAGTCTGATAGCTGATAGCACAGATGAGCTTCCCAAGTGCATAAATAGTCATTGCATTTATTCTTGTTATATTCAAAATGTAAACTTTGATTTTTTTTGCTGCAAACCACTTTGGCAATATTGTTTAACCTAAACATTCATGCCAATAAAGCAACTGAATTGATTGAATTGAAGCGCTTTGAGGCACAGGCTGAATTAATCCGCGGGTGAAAGTGCTCCTGAGCTACCTCAAGAGGATGAGAGGGGTTATCCATGATGACTTTCAGCTTCCCTCTGATCCTCTCAGTCACTGCCTCCACACTGTTAAGATTCATCCCCACCACCAAGCTGGCCTTCAACACCAGCCCACCAATTAAAAACCCAAATGTATTAGTTGAGGAATGTACTGATGATAATTATTGATATGATAGCTATTATTTCATATTATGGTTTCACCTTTCCCAATCCCACTCTCATTTTACTTGGCAGCCTCGTGGCTTAAGAAAAACTATTTTACAATTTTTTGTTAACAATTTTGCCGGAGTATTTGTGTGTTACGTATATTTTCTGTTCATAGAAGTTTTGGTGTTGTGTGGTGTGATTTGTGTCATGCTGTGATGAAAATATCAATATTTATATATTGGAACATTTCCCAATCCTTCCATAAAGAGTTCGGTAGCACTTTATAATAACTACACACTATAAAGCATTAGTTAAGTATTAATAATACGGAATGCATCATTTATAAACCCTTGTTCTTATATTAATACACATTAGTAACTCATTTATAAACATAGTTGTATATGTTGTATTCTTTATTAATAAGCTCATTTATAATGTGCTTAATAATTGTATTTTCATACTTTATACATGATTGGTTCACTATTTATAAATGAAGTATTATTTTAATGACAAACCATTTATATATGAGTTGTTAATGGTTCATAAGATCTTGTTTTTTTATACTTTCCGGAGAAAGAATATAAACAATCTCAGCATAACACCTAAATCTAGCAGTGGCAAAGCCCAAAGGATGCTACTAAGACTACCTGAAAGATGCCCCAGCCGTTACTGGTTGTGTGGAAAAGCCTCACCATTACAGGCCTGGTACTGTATCTCTGAGATAGATCATTTATCACTACCAGCTCATCAATGATGTGCTTAATGACTGTATTTGATAAAAAGTATTATTCCAATGAAAAACTATATATATGCGCCTATGGTTCATACGATCATGTAGAAAGTTAAGGAAATTATTTAATAAGTATTTTCCCTCCCTAAGGACTATCTATATGGAGGACCGATCCTGACACATTCAGAAATAAATACAGAAATAAATAAATAAATGCTCAATAAATAAATAAGAATCCGATTAAATACACAAAAAATAAAGTAAATAAATAAATGTAGGTAGTAATTAAATTATACAAGGAGACATAAATGTATATATCTATTTTAATTACCTTATTTATTTCTTGTCCGTTATAATCTTCAACTTCATTTATTAATTATTTCTTTTTTAAATGTATTTATTTATGTGTGTGTTTTAATATTTTTGTCTGTTTTGTTCTTGCGTTGCATTTTCTACCCTATTTATTTTCACCCATGGTATTTATTTCTCGATGCATCTTGAAGCTCAATGCATCAAGATGCATCGACGATCGCCCCACAATCCTACCGCAGCCGACCAAGCCGCAATCGGAGCCGCGCAGAGACCCCCAGCCCCAGGCCCAGGGACACACCACCCGCCCAGATATGAGCAAAGGCCACAAGCCCGAGTCCCCAGAATGGTCAAGAGCGGGCCCCCACGCCAGGGGAGCCCCGACCCCCCCCAGCCCACCCCAGATCAGGCAAGGCCGTCACCAACCCCACAGCACCCCCGATGCCTGGGGCTCCAGGGGTAGGACACGAGGCCAATGAGAATCTCCCCCACTCCTTCAACCCCTCTGCCTGCCTCTGTAAATGTATTGTTTGTGTTGGATGCATGTCATGGATTGTGAAGTGTTGTATGGTGGAGTAAAGATGAGGTGTGTGGTAACTAAGGTGCAATTAAAATTGGAGGGTAGTTGTAACACAGGCACCCCACAACTGTCAGGTAATGGAGCCTCCCATCGTGCCCCTCCCACCCTCCAAGCCCTCTGTGTCTAATGTGTAATTAAAATTGAAGGGAGGGCAGTGGGGGAGGAAGAAGTGCGAGGCCGCAATAAAGCAGCCTCACCCCCCTAACGCCCTGCAGGCTGCCCGCCCCCCAGGGTCCTAAGGGTGTATGTTGTGAGACATGACCAAAGGGGGAAAGGTGAAGGAGGTCATAGGGAGGCTAGAAGACCAGATTCCTGACTGGCCCCATCATTCATTCAGTCCCGTCCCCACCCCCCTAAGCAGAAGGACGCCAGGTCCCTCCAGCCCAGGGCTTATAGCAAGAGCCCCTCTAGCACCGGCAGCACCCCAGAGGCAGCGACAACCCCGCCCATCCCCAGGACGGGTCCAGCGCGCAGACCCGCCCCAGACCCAGAGGCTCCAAAGCCCCGAGCCCCAGACCCCCACACACCCCCGAGGCAGGTCAGTGCAGCCCCAACCCAAAGTCCAACAATCCCCCGTCCTCGCCGGGCCCCCCCCCCACAAGGGAGCAGGTCTGGAGCAGCAAGGACCCCACCCAAGGACAGAACGGCCCAACATTTCACCCCCGAAGGTCGGCCCACTCCCAGGAGGCAATGCCACTCAGGCCAGTTCAGGCCAGAAGACCCCCACCCCCGTGCCCTTCCCTCCCTAGCAGCGAAGCATCCCACACACAAACCCCCACCGTCCCCAAAGAAAAGAGACAGCAATCACCCCGTGACAGCAGCAACAGCCCCTCAGCCCTAGGGAGTCAGCAGATGCACCCAGCCCCTAGGACTCAACACGACCACAATCCAGAGGGCCGCGACGCGACTGCGAAGCAACCATCGACACACCCCAAAGCACAATCCCTCCACACACAGGATCCCTGCACAACCACCAAGCATCCAGTCCGGGCACTAAAATCCAGAGGAGACACCCCCCAACCAGCTCAAAAAGGACCAGCCCGCACCCCCAACCCACCCCGTCAACCCCTTCTTCCCGGTCCCCCACCCCTCCAACAACCAGTCGCCAGACCCCTCAGAGAACCGAAATGCAATTATCAGGATGCACAGCATGCACACAGGACAGAGCCACACACCAGCCCAGTCCAGGCCCGCACCTGAGGCCCCCAACCCCCGACAAGCACGCAAGCCAATAACGACCTACAGGTGAGCCAACCAACACTACCCCGCTACCAATCTAACTAGTGGCACACAACAGCCAAGTAATGCGCTGCACAGGAGAGATGCCAGCCGGCGCAAACCGCCCCCACCCCCCCCGCAGCCAGGGAGACCACAGACCCCACCCACGGCTACACTGTGACCCACACCGCACGTTCACCACCGGACCGAAACCCGCCACAAGCATCCCCCCCCGCCCAGTTTTAATGGAGCAGAGCGAGCTGACAGGCAGAGTTAGAGACTTTTTCTGTCCGTTTCTCTCTTTACAAAGACGCATGTTGCAGTCTGAGTGTCTTCTCTGAAGAGGGAAATGAAGTCTCAGTAGTACACGATGTGAGCACCACATACAACATAATTTATCAAATTACACAACGGATATACAATATGAAAATAACATTGATTGGATTATACTCACAGGAAGTATAAAACCTGTTACATTCGTCTATTAAAAGTAAAATAACACAAAAATGTCAGGGAAATTACTTTACTCAGATTTAAGTACTGCAGTTGTACATTTGAAATACCTTCCTACCTTTCTGATAGGAAGTTCTCTTGAGGTGGTATAAAACATTTCTTCTTAAATTCTGATTTGAGTTGTGGACAACTATGACCACATGAATTAAAAAAATAAATATTTCAGTGCCCAAGTCAGCTATAACACAAGCCTTGTCCATTAGACTACATGCTGTACAGTATTTGTAATTTGATTTATTATGCATTTCTTCTTCTTCGTTGCATGATTTAGAATAATAAGTTGAGAAATGGGTCTGTTCTGAGTTGATTAGTTGATTTAATCACCAAAATGCTTTCTTTTAGGCAGGCTG